TTTTTTTTTTAAACAGTGTACAATTTTGAAACAGTGAATAATGCTTCTCATTCCAATACAGAATTAGGGTTACATATTTATATGTATATACAGCACCGCATAAATTACATAAATGCCCTCAAATATAATATTATACTGTCATCCCCCCACAATTGGAGCAGGCTGATGAAGCACGCACAAATTGGACTGTTGAGAACAGAAAGTAGTTGATGATAAAGCCTTAGTAAGAATATTAGCACGCTGTAAAAAGGAGGGGACATGCTGCAAAAGGATGGCACGAGAAGCAACCCGTTCTCGAACAAAATGAATATCAATCTCGATGTGTTTTGTTCGCTGATGCTGTATAGGATTGAGAGCCAAGTAGAGAGCACTGATATTATCACAAAGCACAATGGGAGCAGAAGAGAGAAAGACGTGTAACTCAGCTAATAATTGCCGAACCCAAACAACCTCAGCAACGGCATTAGCCATAGCACAATACTCAGCCTCAGCACTAGATCGAGCAACAGTATTCTGCTTTTTAGAAGACCAAGAGATGAGGGATTTGCCAAAAAACAAACAGTAGCCTGAAGTAGAGCGCCGACTTTCCAAACAACCAGCCCAATCAGCATCAGTATAAATATGCAAAGAAGGAGAAAATTCCTTGAATAGCTGGAGACCATAATGAGCAGTACCCTTCAAATATTGAAGTATCCGTTTCACTGCCTGAAAATGATTTTGAGTCGGAGCATGCATATACTGGCAAACTTGATGAACCGCAAAAGCAATATCAGGACGAGTAAAGGTCAGGTATTGTAAAGCACCAACTATACTACGATACTGAGTGGAATCCAAAGAAGGAGGACTATCAGAAGTAGCCAATTTTTGCCTTGGGGACATAGGAGTAGCAGCAGCATCACAGTCAGACATGCCAGTGCGAGCCAACAAATCAAATATATACTTAGTTTGACAGAGAAAAAGACCATCAGGGTTAAAAGAGGCTATAATACCCAAAAAATAATTAATAACACCCAAATCTGTCATAAAAATTTCCCGCTTCAATGAAGAGATGATCCGATGTAAAAAAGACTGTGTGGAAGCAGTGAGAATGATATCATCAACATACAAGAGCAGGACAGCCAGCATACCATTTGAGCGATATAAAAACATAGAACAATCAGAATAGGCCTGAATAAAACCACAAGAAGAAAGAAAAGCGGCAAACCTCTGAAACCATGCACGAGGAGCCTGTTTCAGACCATAAAGAGCACGTTGGAGAAGGCAAACACGATCTGGATACTGTGGATCCACAAACCTAGGTGGTTGAGACATATAAACAGGCTCAGATAAATGTCCATTGAGAAAGGCATTCTTCACATCAAGTTGATGAATCGGCCAAGACTTGGAAAGGGCAAGTGTAAGAACTGTTCGAATGGTAACAGGTTTGACCACCGAACTAAAAGTCTCATCATAATCGATCCCAGGTTGTTGTGTATACCCTTGCGCCACAAGTCGACCCTTATAACGCTCAATACTACCATCAACTCGCTGTTTAATACGATAAACCCATTTCGATCCCACAATGTTAGCACCGGATGGAGGAGATACCAAAACCCAAGTTTGATTGCGCTGTAGAGCCAAAAATTCCTCCCGCATAGCCCGTTGCCACTTTGGAAGATTGTAAGCTTGCTTAAAAGTCCTGGGTTCCTGCAAATCAGTAGAAGTATGAATCATAGACAGTAAGATCTTTGGCTTCTGAACACCCACTTGTGAATGAGTCACCATATTGTGAGTGCATCGAGGAGCATCAGCCGAAGAAGAAGAAGAAACCGAAGAAGACGATGCAGGGGCAGGAGCAGGAGCAAAAGCAGGAACAGAGCCATCAGTAGTCACAGAACAATCACCAATCGAAGTAGTGGAGAGAGAAGCATCAGGCCCAGACGCAGATTGGGCGGAAGCAGGGGACGCAGCATCGCAGACTGGTGATGATGACCGCAGATCTGGAGGAAGTGGGGACAAAGAGGTTGCTGGCAATGGCACAGAGCAAGGCACGATGGAGGCAGAGATCGAGAGAAGGCTGGTGGGTGTGATAGTGGTGGGGCAGGTGGGTGCGGTAAGTGGGTGTGAAGTTAGGCCAAGAAAAGGTGGGCCGGGGGAAGATGGGCCAGTGGAAGGCATGGCTGGGCTAGGGGAATTAGTGCAGGTATGGGGCGGAGTGAATTGGCTGTCTAATAAATGGAAAGGAGCCCGGAAAAATGAGGGAGAATGAGATGGCATAGAAGGTGAGTAGGGAAATTCAGTTTCATTAAAGGTAACATGTCTAGATAAAATAATTTTCTGGGTTTTGAAGTCAAGGCATCGATACCCTTTATGGTGACTAGGATACCCCAAAAAGATGCATAAAGAGGAACGGGGTGCCAATTTGTGAGCTGCAGTGGTAGACAAGTTAGGATAACAAGCACAACCAAAAGGTCGTAAATGATCATAAGATGGCACTGTGCCAAATAAAGCCTCATGAGGAGTTGAAAAATGTAGCCTAGAGTAAGGTAAAATATTGATTAAGTGAACAGCTACATAAAGAGCTTCCACCCAAAATTCACTAGGCAAGTTTGCTTGAAAAAGTAAAGATCGAACCATATTTATGATTGTTCGATTCATCCGCTCGGCTTTCCCATTTTGTTGGGGAGTCGAGGGACAAGAAGAGCGAAGATGAATACCATTGTTTTGAAAATGAGTAGCAAACTCTGCATTACCATATTCACGGCCATTATCACATTGAAAAGCCTTAATCCGGGCACCAAACTGAGTAGAAACATAAGCAGAAAATCTAAGGAAAGCTTGAAACACTTGAGATTTTGATTGTAAAGGATAAACCCATAAATAGTGACTATAATCATCCAAGAACAAAAGATAATAACGAATACCCGTAAAAGACACAACAAGAGAAGTCCAAACATCAGAATGAATTAACTCAAATGGCACTGAAGTAGTTGAAAAGGAGTCACTAAATGAAAGTCGAGTATGCTTCCCTAGTTGACAAGCATGATAAGAAATTGAACTAGAAACTTTATTGTTGGACAAAATTAAACCACGACGAACCAATTGAGTAACAGAGTCTGAACTTGGGTGACCAAGACGAAGATGCCAAACATCAGGAGACACAACTGCAGTAGTAAAGACGGTAGGATGACTTTGAGACGAGCTAGACACGGAATAAAGTCCCTTCGCACTATTGCAACGAAGCAAGACGTTCTTCGAGTGGATATCCTTAACAGAAAAACCAGAAGAGTCAAATTCAACACTACAATTGTTGTCTTTAGTAAACTGACGAACAGAAACTAAATTCTTATAAAGATGCGGAGAGACAAGCACATTATTAAGTTTAAAGGAATGACTATACAATGACAACACTGTATTACCAAAATGAGTGACAGCAAGTAATTGACCATTGCCAACCTGAATAAACTCTGAACCGGAGTAAGGAGAGGAGTGGGAAAGATTACCAAGGGCACTAGAGACATGGGTATTAGCACCAGAGTCAATATACCATTTGCTGTCCGGAGCGGTAGGGAATGTTGTGGCTGTGAGTGCTGCCGGAGCAGAGGACAATGAGGCAATATTTGTGCCAATTAACAGAGGGCAGTCACGAGCCTTATGAGTCAATTGATCACAAAGTTGACAAGCAGACATGGGCGGATTCGGCAATAATGGTGGTAAACTACTGCCACGGAAATGGGATGAATGCTGGCCATAAGATGAGTGCTGCGATGAGGAAGGATGCCCAGCAGTATTGAGAAAAGATGGGGAGCCACGCCTTGGATTAGTGAGTGCCCCAGGATAGAACCCACGATCAAAATTGGAGAATGAGCCACAAGAACCACGACCGCCTCGCTTGTTACCACAGCCTCCTCTATAGAAGCTTCCACGGCCTCAATTGATGCCAAAGAAATCAGGCCGGGACTAAGTATCAGAATAATATGCCTCAAGAATTGAAGAGCCCATATCAGATGAGTGAACCGAGGTCTGCAACACCTGTTGTGCACTGGAGTTAACAAAAGGTAAAGCACTGATAGATTTTTCTCTTTGCAATGTTGATTCTTCAATAAGCAGTAAAGATTGAAGCTCCACAAATGAAGGAAAAGGAGATCTGTGCGGAATAGTTCTCTTAGCAACACTATATTCAGCATCAAGTCCTGCAAGAGCCTAAAATACTATGTCTCTGTCAGTCAAATACTCACCAACACCATACATGTTATCTGCTGCCTTTTTGAAAGATTGCAAGTACTGTAACATAGACTGGCCGGATTGTTTTTGGAGAGAAACGAACCCTTGCTTAACATACATTTTTCTGGCAGCCAACTAATTTTGATAAGAAGTATGAATGGCATCCCAAGCTTCCTTAGCAGAAAGAGTTTTACCCGGTTGAATAATCATCTGCAGTATATCTGTGGAAATAGTGGCATGAATCCAGGATAAAATTTGATAATCAATCTGCACCCAGGCGTCATAATTAGGATGGGAAGGTGGAGGACAAAGATCTGTACCATCAATACGGCCATATACCCCCTTGCTTTTGAAGACAGGAATCATCAACTCCTTCCAAATAATATAATTGTCATGGGTTAAGGTTTCTGGAACAAAAGTTTTAATATTTGAAACTATGAACACCGGATGAGAAAATAAGGAAGAGGGTGAGGCATGATAAGTAGGTGGAAGGCTTGGAGTGGGTAGAGTATTGAAAGGGGAAAGGACGAAAGAGTGGGCTCGGGTGGGACAACATTAAAAAGAGGAATTGGGGTAGAAGGTTGTGAATCAGACAAAGAAAAAGTTTTTGAATCTGAAGAAGCCATAACTAGAGATTGGCAAAGACCTAGAGACCTAGAGAATAAGACGAAAATTGGAGAAGAGACTTGGTGCCAAATTGCGGCTCTGATACCATGAAACAGTGAATAATGCTTCTCATTCCAATACAGAATTAGGGTTACATATTTATATGTATATACAGCACTGCATAAATTACATAAATGCCCTCAAATATAATATTATACTGTCAAATTTTTGAGAAAAAAAATGAGATTTTCAAGACGTTGGTAAGATTCGAAACTCCGACCAACAAATTCAAATGCTTAATGGCTTGGGGTGAACCTCTATAACCCAAAAGACGGGCTCAGAAAAGGGCTAATTATTCATCCTTCACTGGGCAAAAATAATAATAATAATAACAGAAAAGCCGAAAAACAGGAAAGATATTAAATATGGTTGATGACAAGGGTTGGGAAAATACAGCATTAACTTCCAAGATACATATTCCATCAAGAAAAGAATTAATAACTTAAACAGAAAATGTTGGGCCAAAAAGATTTATATATTTGATCAAGAAAAGATATTCGCAACAGAGATATTAAAGATATTCCTCCTCTTTCTAAATAAAATTTTTGTGTACAACAAAATAAAATGTTGCTCCAGGACAAACAAAAATTGACCAGATGATGCAGAAAAACAGACCTTTTTGGATGTTTATATTCCAGGGAGGGAAAATCCAAGGTTACCTTCCTTGAACATGTTTTTCAGGTTATTGTATCCTGAGAGCATCCTGCCAACAGAAATTAAAACAAAATTTGGCCAATTTCTTTTGTCTGCAAAGAGGATGAAACATACAGAAATGACTTTGAAACGTCATAGTTCAAAGCATTCCTCTAGACTTTCCTTTCCCTTTTCCGTCTACGTCTGTACACAATCATCTGGGGCATTTTTATTTCCTTTCTCTCCTCCACTTCTGTCCCAACTGATTTTCCAATACTTTCAGTAATAATATCTGGTTTCAACTTCAACGGCTTTCCAATTTCCACCTGCTCTCTCTTCTCTGATCTTTCCAAGTTGCTGGTGACCCCCATTTCTTTCACCTGAGCTTCAGTTAATACCTTCAGAAGTTGTAATCGCCTAGCTGCAGGATCAAGCTCCAAGCAACCCTCGGTAGCGTTAGGACCTTCTTAACTGGTGAGCAAATAAGAAAGGAACTGATGAGACAGCCGAAACAACTGTTCTCTGGGAATGATCCTAGTTATACATGGCTCTGGGTGTTGCCGAAACATTGTTTTGAATCCAGCTACTTTTACCAGTGGAACAACAACAACAGCACCACTTTGCTCATTGTAATCTTCAAGTACCTCCAACATATCATATTTGAATAGCCCCCTTTCTGCCTTTTGACCATTTAACCTTGTGGGAGAAAGAATCAAGCAACTTGTTAATTACATACTTGCCAATCAAAATATCCCCACTAGTTTTGTAGAAGCCAGAGCCAATGCAGTTTAGTAGGCCCAATTCATGATTACTTTTTGAATTAAGCCAGCTTATCCGCATCTTGAGTGGTTTCAATGACATGACACCGTGAATCATTTCATAATAACGTGACAAGCCATCATCATTATCATATGCAGCCCAAACCTGGTTATCGCCAAATGATTTCTCTGTGTGATCGTTGTCAAAATCATGAAAATCAGGATCTGGAACACTCATTGACATCAGATCAGCTTCCTCCATGATAGGGTCAGCATCCTCAGTGGTACTGTCAGCATCAGACACAGCAGAGGAAAACTTTTTTGGATGAATTCTAGTCTTAACATCCATAACGTCTGCTGATTTATTTGTGTCTTCATTCCCACCATTTTCTGCATCTGTTCCATTTCCTTGTTGCTTCTCACTCATCTCCTTTTCTACAATATTTGATTCATGTGAAGCATTCGGTTTGGATGCAGTGTCCCAGTCATTAAGCTTCCTGAGGATCTCTGTCTTAGCCTTCATCATCAACATATTTCGAATTTCTAGAAGTCACAGCTCCCTCGTACTACTAAATCTAAAATTTCTGGGAAATTTTGCTCTTATTGGTTCAGAACTACTATTTTGAGCTTTAGGAACGCCAACCCCATTTCCCAAAACAACTTGATTTTTCACAAGTCTTTCATACCACCTCCACCCATGGTCATTGATGCATCTTCTTTTCTTAGGCCTCCGTGCTTTAATTGTAGAACCGGAACCAGCACCAGAAGAAGCAATATCTAAAACAGCAGCTCTTCTTTGAGAATCATGAAACTTGATCCCAAGTTCATCGTCTTTCAGGCCAGCTGTATGTGCCTCGTCATTTCCTCTAACTGCTCGAATGCTGGCTTGCTCTCATCTGTAGCTTCAGCAGTAAAGGAAGATGGGGCACTCACGCCTATGTTACCACCCAATTTAGAGAAAGCACCTGATTGAGGAACTCTAACTGATGACTGAATTCCAGAAAATCTAGTTGGCCTTAATTATATTATGCATTTGACTGGTATTCTGTCCCAGGTTGTTGGAAGTCCATGGAGTAGAACCATGTTCATTGATGGAGGTGGTGTCTCAACAGCCATAAAGGGCTTATGACAGTGGACGCAATGAAGACTGTGGTTGAGATAGTTCCTGAGGTACTCCAATTGCACCTTACATGAACTGCAGGTTGTCCAAAAAGAGTCATTTTTCACTGGACTAGAAGTAGCAGCAGGATAAGGATGAGTAGCACCTTGATGATTCCTGGTATTGAAAGTATTATTATTGGTGCGATTGGCAGGCATTGATGAGGAAGGATTCCCATTAAAAACATCAGCATATATTCCGCTGAAGTTCTGTTTCTGGTCATAAGACATTCTCTTGGTTTTATCAAATAACACACTCCATGCCTCAGACAAAGTTTTGAAAGCACCATCAGCCCCTACTGATTTGTTTTTATCTGGATGAAGAATTGAGAGCCAGTTTCCTATCATTTTTCCGAATTGTGTCATCATCAGCAAACGGTTGAACACCAAGAACCCCAAACCAGTCCACTTCTCTGAAGAAACATATACATCAAGGGTTGCAAGCAACTGAGCAAGACCATCAAGTCTAGGATACAAGTTCTGGGCCCTCACAGCGAATTTTTTGGCCCCATGAATATCCATCTTTGCAAGTTTTTTCTCAGCGAGCTCTTTGGCTCTGATGGCTTCATCTTTATTACAACCCACTTTTCCCTTGCTAGTAAATCTGTGCCTCCAACCGCATGCTATTTTTTGCTTTGGTTAATTCCCGTAAAGTTAAGCGAATGTGATATCAACAAAGATTTCCATGTTAAAATCAAATTCAGAAACTGATTTCCATGTTCATCAATTAGGCACCACAATCATTTGTGCAAGAACTCATATACAATGACAATTACCCCAGCATAAAGTAGTAGTTCTCGAAGCTTCCTAAATCTTTCTTACCAAGTTCAATTTCACCAGACAATCTGTTCAACAATTAACAGAATTGGAATGGGTGGTAGACCAATAGTAATATGCCAAGTTAGATGGGATGCAGAAGTGGTAAAACATTGTAGGGACGAGATGCATTTGCGTACATGGAAACCTCTTCAGAATGAAACTAAAAAATAAGGACGCAATGCTTACGTTAACTAGAAAGGTAAACAATAAATATAAACTAATACGTGTATGCAGGAGACAACAAAAGCAACTGGTGCCTATCGATATTCATTGATTCTAAAAATAAAATGATCTTTTACCGGATAAACCATTATCTGCTTGTGAAATACGCAGGAAAAGCATATTAGTTCAGAATCAACGAACTTGAGTACCAAACTTCCAAAATAAGCATAACAGATTTGAGAATAACAAAATGCACAAGATGTAATGTAAAGATACTGGTTGCTGAAATATCATAGCAAAAGAACAACAGGAACTTAAAATCTCACAACTGACATGTCAAATGACTAGTCCCAAGTTTTTTTCTTCTTCTTCTTCTTCTTTTTTCTCATTCCAGTCTTCCCACATTTTCTAAGGAACCAAGCAAGATCACAATTCATTTCACTTCCTTGAACTACAATTTCGGCTGACACACACTTAACAGAAACAGAAGGTGAGAATCCCTAACAAACCACATTGGATAACAACAACTGAAACACTAAAAGGGTGCAAGGATAAAGGAAAAAAAAAAAGAAAACAAAAAATAAGGGAAAAACCCAGTGAACGGATTCAGTTGAATTTGCCTTAAGTAACAACAAAACATGCAGAAAAATTCAAGCAATGGCATAATTTTCACCACCAATTCCAGTAATCCTAATTGACTTAAAACCTAAAACAATCTCCATCATCAGTTCACCATCAAACACACAATGCACAACAAAAAATTGCATGCAAAAAACCAAAAAAAAAAAAAAAGGAGTGATACTGCACATATACATAAAATAAGGGGGACAGGGAATGTACCTATTTACAGAGGGTTGAATTGCCGGTAGGCCGGCATTCAATTTCGGACTGAATTTTGATTTCACCGTCTTTTTACCGGGGCGATCAAATCTCAGAAAATAAACAACTTGTATTTTGAAGAAAAAATAGAACAGTACGAAGAGATTTACCAAAGGAAAAAAAATAGGTTAAATGCTAATTTTGGTACCTCAACTTAACGTTTTGCATAATTTTCATCATTTAACTATTTTTTGCACTTTTTTGGTCCTTTAACTATGAAAAATACACTTTTTTAGTTCTTTCATCTTTTAATCTGTCAAATCTATTTGAATCTACACATTTTAAGTTTATCAACTTCAAATATATGCACATTTTTCATCCTCAAACTTAAAGTTAATGTGCAAATTTAAATAAATTTAACGGATTAACTAATGAAAAATTTAAAAAGTGCATTTTTTATAATTAAGGGACTAAAAAAGTGCAAAAAAAAAGTTGAGAGATAAAAATTATATAAAATTTTAAAGTTGAAGGATTAAAATTGACATTTAACCAAAAAAATAAAGTCATAACCAACAAGACTATCTATCGATTATGCCTTCACTACAAGAAAATTCATATTTAGTAACTAAATTATTAGTAATTAAACTTTTATTTTCTGTCACAAACTAGAATTAGTGATGAAATTTAAATCATTAGTAAAATTCTTATCACTAATGTTTTTAATGATGAATTTGACACTTGTTACAAAAAAAAATTTATAGAGATGAAAAAAATCTACATTATTAATGAATTATTGGTAACAAATTTACATATTTCAAAAAATACTTTTTTGTTACAATAATTTTCATCACAAATGTTATAATTGAGTAAAACAAAAGTCACAAATGCAATTACGATAAAAAAATTTAGTCATTAATTATTAAACTAGTATTAAATCAAAAAGGGTTTTTATGTAATTACAACACAAATTTATGTAATTACAACACAAATTCTGTAATAAAAATTTTGTCACAAAAAAATTAATATATCTATTTGACACAAAAATTTAATTAAAAATATTATTATTTCAACACTAATCAATTTTGATTAAAATTAATCGAGCCCAAACTAAGCTCAAGTTTTATTAAGCTTGACATTATATTGCCCAAATAGAGCCCAAATAAATAAAATTAAACACAAGTGTCAATCAATTGGTTTACATGTAGTCACTAGTTTTATACTGTAAAACTTCATTTGTTTATGTATTTTTCATTTGTTTATGTATTTTTTTACCGACGTTAGATATATTTATAATGTAAAACCTTGTTTTTTTATATGCTTTTTACTGATATGGGATGTATTGATTAAAGAAAACTTAAGGCTGAACTTTTTCTTAAGATATAAAATGACTATAAGACACAACAAATAGTGTAGTAAATTGTAATTATTTACCTTTATAAAATATGGTTTCATTTTGGAAGAAATATAGTTCCATAAATTTTTTTATCAACAAAAAGAATACTAATTTCTTAAAAAAAAGTACAAAGATATTCTAATTATTGTTAACATACATATTCCCAACTTAATTATAATTGATTCTTAATATATTTAATATTTATTTAATAACTAATGCAATAAGGATATGATTTTCATTAAATCAGAAGGACTGAGGCTTTTACTCGTATTACCATACAAAAAAAAATCAAATTAACAATATAATATATATTTTGAATACTCTCTAATTAAAAGTATTTAGCCAAACATATAACTGAAAGAAAATCTCAAATTTTCTTTTTAGCCAATAAAATGATCTTCCCTAAGCAAGTGTAAGTAATTTTTTCATCAATTATTAGATTAATATATCATTATGTAGACTAAAAAATTACCTTATTTCTCCAAATTATATAGGTTATGTGATGAAAACTCAAGTTATACTCTCTACTCTTTGTATATATTATATGTTTTTATCTTAGATTGATGGATGTACAATTGAAAGATTATTTTTCTTTACATTTTATTTTTATTATTTCACCTCTCTACCACAATGCAGGTGGGACACTTTTGCTTTGGATTCTGCAAAGTGGTAAATTCTAGACGCATAGTGTCTACACGTGTGAACGTAGTGTCGACATACAATCTGTGTTGGTTTTGATTCCTTTAGCAATTTCAATAATGGTCAATATTAGATTAGGTTCTTAATCTTTTCCTTTATGAACACTTTGATCCTCAAATTTTTAATTTATTCTTTTATAGCATTGAATTATAGCTTTTATTATTATCTAGTCTTTAAACTTTTAAAATATTTTGACTTAATTAAGTCTCAAAACTTAAGTTATTTACATTTAAAAAATAATTATTTTCCTAATGTCATACCTAACTTTTTCCCTCCCTTTTCATATTTTTGCCAAAAAAATCTCAATTTTTATCATGCATGCAGGTTGTTTAGTATATTATTTGAAGTGTATTATTTGTTTCAAATTTATTTAGATAGCATTATAGATTTGTGATGAGTTTTAGTGATGAATTTTATTGTCAAAAGTTTATATTTTATTTTTGACTATTTTCCTATGACAAAATATCTCTTTAATAACAAATTTTTTTTTGTTATCATTGAATATGTAAACATTTGTGATCAAAAGTTAAAATCTATCAAAATTATGATGAGTTGTAGTGATGATTTTCATCATCACAAGTATCTATTCTTTTTGTGACAATTTTCAGTGACAAAATATTTTTTTAATGATGAATTATTTGGCCATCATTAAACATATAGGTATATGTAATCAATATTTGAAATTTGTCTTAATTGAAATGAGTTATAGTAATGATTTTTATTGTTACAAACTTGTTATTTATTTGTGATCATTTTTTAGTAATGAATTTTTATTATTATTATTAAACATATATGCATCTATAATTAATTTTTAAAATCTGTCACAAATGTAATGAGTTATAATGTTAATTTCAACATTCATCACAAAGGTTTGTCACTAAAAATCCCATTTCTTGTAGTGCTTGTTCTCTAGCAATGATTCCTATTCTTAATAGTTTCCATTTTATTTTTTCAATTTGTTTATTTTTCTTCCATCTTTCTTAGATGTACCCTTTAGAAAAATTTTGCTGATGCAACGTTTTCAGCTGTTGACAAAAAACTCCCATAAACTTGTTATCTTTGTCATTCAAATTGTAAAGATAAAATCATGAAAAGGTTTTACTTTCTTTTTTTAATAATCAATTTTAGTGTTTTCTTTTTATTATTTTTTTTAAGTTTTAAACATTTTTTTGGTGGTTTATTTAATTGTAACGGGGATTTCTAACACTATATTCAATACTATGATATTTATAAATAATTATGATATTTTTGAGGTTTTGGCATTTAAAAAGAGGTAATATTACTATCATTAGTAGTTTTTCTTTTGTTATGTATTAATATTTTTATTTTTACTTACTAAAGTTTAATGTTTGTAACATTCTTGTTGGTGAAGCAGTTCACTTTGAAAAGCTAACTTTTACACTTTATCACTTGATGATAAAGTTCTACTTTCTACTTTAAGGGAGATTATTGTGGAAATTAAGAAGTCCAACAACTTTGTGTTTAATTTCATCCCTAAATTTGACTTCTTCTTTTTTCAATTTAGTTCCTAAAATTTGAAAATATTTGCACTTTAGTCTCATTACTTCTATTTTTGCATTCCAATCTTTTTGCATAAAACAATAAAATTATGTAAAATCCATCGAGGCTAAAATAAGAAATTAAAATATAATAAAATGCATCTTGTCATTATGTTATTCCCACTTTCCTTCATTCTAAAGCCAACTTACAATTAGAATCAATGTGCCCCATACAACCATAGATATAGCAAAAATTAATCAATCTCATGTTTAATGAGCAATCATTTGGTTTCTTTAGTAGAAATTTGGGTAGTAGTGAACCTTTATCTACGGGATTCTAACTGGCATACTAAACCTAACTCTCAAGGATATATATTATGCTCATTATCAACATCTATAACCTTCCCAAGATTTTTGGCTATCATTTGACTAACATGCTGGAATGGGAGACCTACAGCCTACAAGCAAGTCCTAAAAATTAATCCAAAAAGGATTCATTAAGAAATCATCAATTCCTTCACAAACCTCTTTAAAATTACTAGTTAAGTACCTATTGAAATTCCATGGTGTTTTTTTACAAAACCTTCTCTTGGTCATATCTATTCAAAAAGTGAAACATAGAGTTTATCCCCAATCTTGTTGATGTTCACCCTAAAATAGAATAGATGCCGTACACTTATAGATGAGACCCATAAGTGCTCAAGACTTAAAACTAAGTTAATTTATTATGTAAGGCCAAAACGAATAATTAAAGTCTAAAAAGTATCTCAAATATTATTAAAAGTCAAATAATTTCCAAATAAATACTTTTAAGTTAAATTATACAAAATTTGCTAAATGGGTCCTCTAACTTTCTAATGCTAACAAACAAGTCCTAAAACTAATTCAAGTCTCAACTAAGTCCAAATTGAATCTAATAAAAAACTATCACATGCCTTGCTCCCTAGGGTCTCTAGCATCGTTACCTGAAATGGTAGAAGAGAAAACATAAGATATAATCCTAGTAAATGATTATTTGGTTCCTTATTTTATTTTATTTTTAATTAAGCATGCCAATAAGTGTAAATCAAATATTAAGTAAATAGATACAAGTATGGATAATGAAATAAACATCTCCTCTACAAGTCATGGTTAGTGTTTATAAATCTCTTACTAGTAGGCACAAGATTATTAATGTATATTTCTATTAACACAAATAATAAGTATAATAAGAATGAACTTGTTTCAAAAGTAACATGTTGACATGTGTCAACATTTGTAAACCTCCCATTGGTGAGGCAAAAGTAAAATATGATTATATTGGAGACTAAACAAACTAAAAAGTGTATATCAAGTATGCGTATTTCAAGAAAAGCAAGTACCTTACATATCAAGTAACATGTATTAGGTAATTTGTACAGCTAACAAAAAAAAGCAATTTTTACAAATAGACATACTAAACTAATAAAATTCAATTTAAAATAAAACAAGATTTTTATCATGCTGTTTAAATAAAAATATGTTTTTGTTCTTACCACCGTCTTAAAATTAGAAGAAATGATGTTTTAAAATTGTAATTTTAAAACTAGAGATATAACTATAGTTTCACTTTTTCAAATAAGAAGAAATAATAATTACAAAATTAGAAACTAAAGTCGCAATAATTAAACAATCAAGAATCTAAAATTTACATTAGGTCATAAGAAGCTCTAATTCTAATAAATTATAAAATTTTATACTTACTCTTGACTTCAATTAAATCTCAGTATTTTCATTTAATTAACTCTGTTAACAGGTATTGATATCCATTTGTTACTAGAACTAGAGGTGTTGACACTGTTGGCCAATCCCCGAAGCAGAAATGCTGGTGCTATCGCCACGCAGCACCGCAAGCGCAAACCGCACAGCAGCACCCACGCAACGCGTGGGTGCTGCGTGCTGCGTGCTGGCATCTCATCTCTACTTTCATTGTTTAATACTGCCGCTTTTTTTTTTTTTTGTTATAATTTTGTTAATATCTTACTTTATTCTTTTTTGTGTGCAGGAGGTGCAACAGTACTCAATGCTGCATCGCAGCTTTCTACTCTATTCCCCTTTATTTTATGGAAATATATTATGGGGAAAGTATTTTATATGTATTTTTTAAAATGATATATCTAAAATTATTTTTTAATTAATAGTATTAAAAATTAACAATCAGATTAAAAAGTTAGAAATCCATTATATATTTATTTAAGAAAATTAATATTAAATAAATATTGATATCTAAATTTAATATAATCAATTTTTAAATTTAATTATTAATATTTAATAAGATAATTTTTTAAATTTTAAATTAAATTTTTATTAAATAAAATTATATAATTTAAAATTAAAAATTTAATTATTTTTTAGAGTTAAAATTGATATACATTTTTACTTATTTAATATTATTGTATTAGTAGTAAAGAAAAATTAGGCAAAATGTATCCAATTTGCGTTTTTCGACAATCAAGCCCCCAAACTTTCTTTTCAAAAGAGTCCCTCAATTATGCAAATGCATATAAATAACACTGTAATTATTGGATTTTGCTGCTTGCACCTGGACGGTTTCATCCACGTCGCCGTCCAAAAGTGAACAAATGGCACGAGGAAACGCCCCTATTTATCACACGTACTAGTCATGCACAAACTCTCACAACTTCTCCCCTCATCATATATATACGCCATCCCTCTCAACTCCCCCCTCCTTTTCCCAAGGCGCCGTCGCCGCCGCAGTTCCGGCGAAACGCAAAATTCTGGTTAACAACCTCATCAAATAGGTAACCCCTTCTCTCTTCATCGCCTTCCCCATTAGTTTTTTCTCTCTGGGGTTTCAGTTTCTTAATTGATATTATAATCAAAATCTCACCTTTTGATCAGTATTCTCCTCAAGTAATCAGAGAGCAGGTAATTCGAGCTTCTCTGAAATTGTTGAAGTTTATTTTAAAAACACACAAATGGGAGTCTTTAAGGTTTCTTGGGTTTCATCTTCTTCATGTGATTTTTTTTTTTTTTGGGGTATCATTGAGAATATCTGTTCAATCTGCATGTTTTGAATATTGGATTGTTATTACTTTCATTGAATTATTTGTGTAATCAATCAAAGAATAGAGATGGGTTTTTGGTAATGGCTGAAATTTAATCTTTGGATTGGATCTATTGTTGATGCTTTTGTTGCCAACAGAGATTGTGAGAAGGCATTATTGAAAGATTTCTTTGGGATTCTGGAGAAGATAAATTGAGTTTTTTTCTTGATGGCTAAATGTTTGAAATTGGAGAGCAGTGATGACAGGATCAGTGCATTGCCTGATGAAGTTCTTATTCACATCCTCTCATTCCTTCCAACACAAAATGCAGTTACTACCTCTGTGCTGTCAAAGAGGTGGAGGTACCTTTACACTTTGGTTTCTAGCCTAGACCTTATGACAGATGTGTATGATGATGATAGAGATTTGGATGAAGTTGAGAAGGCATCCCGGTTCATGAATTTCGTAGATAGAGCTTTGTTCTTTCGTGACATACCATCAATAGTGAGATTCCGCCTCGCCTATTATCAATATATTGATCCTATGCGTATTGATGGGTGGTTACGTGCTCTGATGTGGCATAATATTCAAGAGATTGATTTATGCAACTATTTTGAGGAGGAATTTCAGGGCCTGCCCCTACCAGCTCCTTTATTTTGTTGTGAGACACTGGTGGTTCTGAAGGTGAATTTGCAATGGAATAATCGTGATCTCAAAGTGCCATCTAGGATTTGGCTCCCAAATCTTAAGATTCTTCACATTCGGGATATTTGTTTTCCAGATGATGCTTCTGGTGAAAATCTGTTTTCGAGTTGCCCTGTTCTTGAGGAAGTGGTTCTGCATGGATGTTTTTTTGGGGATGGTTGTCTCAAATTCAAAATATCTAGTTCAGCACTCAAGAGACTGACCATAGAATCCGTGACCACCACTTCCTTGCCAGACAAGAAATTTCAGATAATGATTAACACTCCTAATCTTGTCTATTTGAATTACTCTATCTCTGGAAATCAGTCCCTTGTGTTAGTCAATGTGCAGTCTCTTGCTGAAGTTTTAATCACTTGTGACACAGCATACTATTGGGAAAATCCTGCTGCAGCAACTGATGTTTTCAGAGGAATAAAGGATACTCAGTCACTTCATTTATCCAACAACACTCTAGTGGTAAGTTCTCCTTGTGAGACTTTTTGGCAATTAAATATTCAACCAACTAACCACAAGGTTCCTCTTTTTCTTTTCCAGGGTCTCAAATACCATGAGGTTCCTATTCCTTCATTCGAGAAGATGACTTACTTGAAAATTTGGGATTGGGACTTCCTCCCCGGTTCTGATGTTCTGGAATATTTTCTTGCCCATTGTGTTGTTCTAGAAACCCTTGTATTTGAGGTATGAGATCTTATATAATCGAAACTTTTCATCCAGCCAATGCATCGTAACACTTACATAGCAGTACTTTTCTCTCTGATCAGGAACAGCTAACTAAAGGAAATACAAGCATACAATACTCACTACAGAAAGCTCCACTGGCCCGTATGTTGTGTCGCCTCAAAAAAATTGTAATTCGGTCACTCGAAATGAGACAATCTGAAGCTTATATGCAAATCATTGAGTTCTTTCTGAACAATGCTAGCATCTTGGAGGAGTTGAATATACATATTACTCGACATCTATCCGAACAACAAGAGAAGATGATGGTGAACGAGATTTTGGCGCGTTACCAAGAATCTGAAAGAAATCTCAAGTTCTCATTTATGCAAGGAATAAAACTCATGTTTCAGTTTGAGTAAACTCTTTCCTTTTTTTTTTCTTTTTTTTTGCTTATATGTTGCTTAGTGCTTCGAAAAACTTATGTGAAAGCATTCCAGCAAAAAAAATAACTTATGTGAAAGCATTCACTTTACCAGACAGAATCCTGTAGCATTATGTTATTCTTGTTCTCGGTATTTTGGCACAATAAATATGGACCTTGATTGGTGTATACCCGGATTCAACACCCGGGTGTGCACCCCACATAAAAAAAAAAAAAAATTGGATCAGGTGGTGATGGATTTTTTTTTTTTCAAAGGGTGTTGATTCGGGTGTGCACGTATCATTTTCCAATAAATATCCATGAGTTGCCTGCACAGGAACAGTTGTTCCGTTGGATGGTGCGGGGCAATAGCTCCTGTTAGATAAGGGAGGGCGCGCTCGTCTCCCATCCAATGATTTTAGGCATTTTAAGTCAACATAGGTAATCTAATGTAGTAGTAACAAAGGTATTTCTTAGGCTCGACCTTCATTGTGAGTAGTCTGCTTGATTCTTGCATCTTTGATTATTCAATCCTTGAATTTGTGAGAACCCTTTTGGCCTTTTCGAATTTTGATTCTGTCTGAATATTTTTCTAATGAAATATTGTTCTACAAACCTTATTTTGGAAGTAACTCTTTTTATATTTAACTAATATATTTTTTCTTATATATTACCTAGAGTCTCGAAGATATGTGAAGTGTTTCTTGATACATTAAACGGAATACTCACTTTTTTCTTTGTATTAGCTCTCTTTAGGTTCATTTTGTTTATACGTTGCTAGTAATATATTCCAGGAAGCATATGGAGGTAATTGGGATTCAAGTTTTGAGCTTCTTTTGTTTCACAACTCCATCAAACTCAAAGTAACTGCTACTCATTAAATAACTTTGCTGATGCCAGTTATCTTGTTTGAATCGGCTCCAATGTCTTTTTCCCCATAATCTTCAAGGTAGTTCTTCTTCTGATACTTATACATTTCGATCTTGATGGGAAGAGGCAGTAGTAATCTTAATTAATTTTAATTAATTTTAATTAAATTTTTATACACTTTTAGTAATTTTAATTAAAATTAATGTTAAACTGTAAAATTAATCTTTTAATATTTAAAAATTATATAAACTATATTTAATATATTTAATATTTATTTCAATTAATTTTTATATAATTTTAAAAGAAAAATAATTTAAAAATAACTTTTTTATATCATATTTTTATACAATTTTACATATCATGTAAATGATTAAATTTTTTATTTATTTGAAATTTGTAATATTGAATATATATATATATTTAATAATATATAAAAATCATACAAAAAAATAAAAAAAATTATACTTATATCACCACTTATTTTAAAATAATAATAATAATAATAATAATAATAATAATAATAATAATAAGTAAAAACCACATGCATCAAGCACAGGAAGCGTTTCAAAACGAGTTCAAGTTTAGGTCTTTCTATGCCACGTGAACATTATAAACCACAAGGATATCCGGGGTGGAGATGAGGGCCCGCCCATTTTTCGTACGTGCTAAACCATACTGATTCTGAGTTCTGAATTCGGATGGTCATTCCAGTTTTCGTAGGGTTTCTTTAATTCTCTTTCACCAAAATCACGGTCTAAACTCCGGCGAGAACCCTAAACTCTTTGACGAATTGTTAAGTCTCCAGGTAATTTTCTCTATTCTTCCATCTCTCTGCTCTACTTGTTGATTTTATTAGAAATTGATGAGACCGTATTTTGATTCCTGTTTCTTTTTTGAACACTGTGTTATTAGTTTCAGTAGCAGGTTCCTTTATTGGCACTTTCAAGCAGATTGTGAGAAGGCAGTATTAAAAAGGAAGGATTTTTGCCATTAGGGTTCTTGAGTGTTTTTCCTCCATGGCTAAAGTTATGAAATTTGAGAGCAGTGTCGACAGGATTAGTGCCTTACCTGATGAAGTTCTTATTCATATCCTCTCACTTCTTCCAACAAAAATTGCAGTTCTCACCTCTGTACTGTCATCAAGGTGGAGATATCTTTTCACCTCCATCTCTAGACTAGAATTTAATACTAATGTTAAAAATGATGCTAAGAAGGCAAAGTTGTTCATGAATTTCATAGATAGAGTTTTGTTCTTTCGTCACAGAGACAGACCATCTATAGTAAAATTCTGTCTCTCGTGGGATGCATTTATTGATCCTTTGCGAATTGACGGATGGTTACGTGCGTTGATGTTCCATAATATTCAAGAGCTTTATTTGTACAATATTGATGACCAGTTTGAGGCACTGCCCTTCCCAGCAAGTTTATTTTCTTGTGAGACACTGGAGATTCTGAAATTTAACTTGTCCTGGGCATCTCATGATCTACAAGTCCCTGCTAGGATTTGTCTCCCAAAACTTAAGGTTCTTGAGATTGAAGGCATCGGATTTCCAGATGATGGTTCTGTTAAAAGACTATTTTCAAGTTGCCCAGTTCTTGAAGATCTGGTTTTGTATGGATGTCGTTTCAGGGATCATTACTCCAAATTCATCATATCTAATCCTTCTCTCAAGAGACTGACCTTATATTTCATGAATACTGACCGGCCAGACCAGATTGTTCAGATAATAGTTAATGCCCCAAGTCTTGTCTATTTGGACTACTGTTTTACTAAAGATTATTCCCTTGTACTAGCAGATGTTAGCTCTCTTGCTAAAGCTGTTATTAAGAGTAAGTCTCTATATCCTGAAGACTTTGTTCCTGTTGCACCTGATGTTTTCAGAGGGATAAAGAACATTCAATCCCTTGAAATAACCAATTATATTTTATACGTAAGTTTTTTTCTTTAGCTTCATTTTGATATCGTTGTTTCCTACCATGCCTTCTCAATGATTTATGAGTTTCATGAATTTAACTAACTACTACAACTTTCCTCTTTTTCTTTTCTAGGATCTCTGGCACCAAAAGATTCCTCTTCCTTGGTTGGAGAATATGAATGACTTGAAAATCTGTCAATGGGACATTGACCTTGGTTCTGATTGCCTGGAATATTTACTCACCCATTGTGTCGTTCTAAAAAAACTTGTTCTGGAGGTATGAAATCTAATATAACTCAGAAGATTACCATCTAAGCAATGCAGGGTAGAACATTGATTAGATACTTTTTTAATTTCCCTTTTCAGGAATACTCACCTACAAAGGGTACTGGAATCAATTACTCACTGAAGCGGTCTTCACTGAGTCCTTTGTTGTCTCACCTCAAAACAATTGAAATCCAGTCATTCAGAATGGAAGCTGAATCTCATATGGAAACCATTAAGTTCTTTCTGAACAATGCCACAATTTTGGAGGAGTTGACGATTTGTATCAAGCAAATTCTTCCCGAACAACAGTTGAAGATCATGAAAGAGTTATTGACACTACAAAGAGCCTCAAACAAATGCCAAGTGATAATCGATATCAAGAATTAGCTGCTCATCTTTTAGTCTTAATTAGCTGTTTTTAATGTCTCTTAATCTTGCTTATATGTCTAAAGCAATGACAGAGAATCATTATTTTCTTTTGTTTTTGTTCA